TCACGTACATAGACACTGCAAAAACTAGGGTGTCTTGTGGGTGAGTGTGCTCAAAGATCTTCTTTGGATTGTCTTTTCAAATTGCTTGAACCCAATGTGTAACAATCGCTTCAGGTCACACCTGCTTGAAAGACCTCCAACACTATCTGGAACCAGGTTGAGATTTTCATATTAGTGAAAATTACTTCTAATGACAAACTAGTTTGATGTTTAATTACTGACTAAGTAGTTCTAATTACTAACTAACTAGGTTTACTTGCTGACAAACTAGTTTTGCTTACCCAACACCACCACTTTGATGGTAGCACTGTCTGAACCGGCTTTGTTTGTTGCTCTGACAACGTAGGTACCTGCGTCAGCCTTTCCGGTGTTCTTGACAGTCAGATTAGTGGCAAAGTCATTGGTGGATGCCCGGACTCTGATGGCATCTATCGCAATCTCTGAGCCATCCTTGGTCCAGGAGATGGTAGGGGTGGGTTTGCCTCGGCAGGGGATGTCCATGTGTAGGTTGGATCCAGCACGGACTTTGATGATGTCACGATACACAGCGCCAGGCTCAAGCTTTGGAGCGGCTGGAGAGATTTAACATTAGAAAAAGTGATGCAGGAGGCAGGAAAATGATTTCAGTGAGAAAGATTTCGATGTTTAAAGTGAAAAACGTTGGAAGACTGTTTTCTTATGGATCAAGGAATTAAATCAAGTTTTTCAAACAAAAAGGCTTTTAATATCTAAAGACATTGCAATTGGGATATTTCCTTAATTTGTTGCTTGTTTTTAGTTCTATTATTTTCCTTCAACAGGATTATGGACTCATTCATTTTTCATTCAGTTTGAGAAGGTAACATTTGGTAAATAATTATATTATACATTTAGAAATATCAGTCAAAGTGATTAGGGTCAATATAAAATCCATTCACTCACCGGCAGGTCTCTCCACCAGAACTGGTCCTGGAGTAGCTGCTGGTTCCCCGACTCCTGCCTTATTCACAGCACTGACACGGAAGTCATATTCAGTCCCCTGGATGAGCCTTGGCACCTTGTAACTGCTGTCTGTTATGGGAGCCGCGTTGACTCTGCTCCAGGCGTCACTAGCCCTGTCTCGTTTCTCAATGATGTAACCGCTAATTGGGGCCCCTCCATCCTTGGATGGGGGTGACCAATTGAGGGAGACAGCATCGCCATGGATACTGGAGATGGAGACTGGTCCCGGCTTGCCTGGTACCTCTGCAAAAATAAGTACCAGTCAAATATTTATAAATACTCAAAAATTCAAAAGACACTTTTTTTTCACAATCAAGTTTATCCTGCCCGTGCTAAATATAACATGTCAAGTAACGGCCAATTTTTCTCTTGAATTTTGCTAATCCTTGGAGTGAACAAAGGAAATTTCTTTCTAGTTGTTGTATTGTTCACTATTGTTGATTCCATTACATTCAGCAGCATGCCAAAACTGAAAAAAATACCACAACCTGATAGGGTTGAAGATTATTTTATACTTCACACAATGCCACAAGACAACACATCAATGAGAAACACTAATTGTCACACATCTAATACTTGATATAACATATTGCATTACATATGAAAAGTATTTCACAGATAACCAGATGATTACTTACCATAGTCCCCTTTAGGAATGACCTTTTCTCCTTCTAGGGGCTCACTCACACCGGACTTGTTCTCAGCTCGGACTCGGAATTGGTACTCATTCCCCTCAGTGAGGCCGATGACTCGGTGCATGCATTCCGTCAGCGCTGCTGATACTTTGCTCCACATGCGCATACTGCCCTCACGCTTCTCCAAGATGTAACCGACAATCTGACTGCCTCCGTCGTCTGAGGGTGGGCTCCAGGAGAGAGTGACGTCATTGCTGCCAAGACGGACAACCTGGCAATAACGAAAAAAGTGTTTGAAAGTGATTGGCACTGAATGACAAATTTTTTTATATACATCAGTAGTTTTTTGTATACTGATCCAAGAAAATTCATGCATTTAGATTTAATTACCTATCTTTGCACGTGTTTGATTTCTTAATTGCTAGAATCTTTTAGTGCAGGATTTGGCCTTACTGTTTAAAGTATGATAAAATGTGGAAAAGATGAGGATATGATCTTGGAGGTGTTGAGGTTGTCTAATTTGAATATCAATGCGTGCACTTACAGGTGCTTTGTTTCGCACACAAGTATGCTCAGCACACTGAGACAGCAAATACACTCACTTGTAAAGGTCCTTCTGGAGGCCCTGGTCTATCAAACACCTTGACTGTTAGAGTCGCTGATGCTTCACCAGCCTTGTTGGTAGCCGTGATAACATAATCACCGCTGTCTTCCCTCTCCGAGTTCCTTGTGTTCAGGACGGTGCCAAAGTCATTGGTCTCTATGCTGACGCGTAGGGTACGCTCGATGGGGACAGAGTTGTGCATCCATTTGATGGTGGGTACCGGCGTGCCCTTGTAGGGGACCTCAACACGGAAGGAGGTGCCAGCACGGACAGTGATCACACGTTGGTACTTGAGATCTAGGTTCAGTTTGGGAGGTACTGTTTAGAGGAGGAAAAAGAACCACAGGGTAAGGCAGTTTGCAATGACCCACAAAGTATAGAACCAAAATTACCAAGGCAAGCTACAACTGCGTTCTTGTTTGCATATTCTTTCCAAAAATCCTAAATAAAACTTCTATTTACAAGATTGAGACTGCCATTTGAAAATGACGCCTTGTTCCTTTGAAACTTTTTCCCAGTCTTGTGCAAATTTGCACATTACTGCATAAATATCATCACAGGCCTTTATTGTCCATCTTGGGACACATTTAATAAGCTGATACCAACCTGGTGGATTTTCAGCGATGACGCTCTGTGACGGCTCACTCGGGTTACCAGTTCCAGCTCGGTTGACAGCAGAAACTCGGAACTCGTACTCACTGCCTCTCAACAACCGACTAACCTGTGATAACCAAAAACATCATCTCTTGCATTCTCGCTAAGAAAGAAAGAAGAAAATTCCCCTCCCCTTAAAATTAAAAAAGAAAATTAAATCTCGCTTTTAACAATTGCGGCTGTTTGGAGAAGTCGTCTTCGGCGGCAAGTTTGCTGGATCAATGCGGCCAAGAAAATATCCTTCTGCGAGCCACT